CGTTGTTCCAGTGTGTGTAGACATTTTCGTTGTTCCAGTGTATGTAGACATTTTCGTTGTTCCAGTGTGTGTTGACGGTTAGGTTGTTCCAGTGTATGTAGACATTTTCGTTGTTCCAGTGTGTGGAGCTGGGTGACTCTGTTACAGTGTTTGTTGACCGTTGATGTTGTTCCGGTGTGTGTTGACGGCTGACGTTGTTCCAGTGTGTGTTGACGGTCAGGTTGTTCCAGTGTATGTAGACATTTTCGTTGTTCCAGTGTGTGGAGCTGGGTGACTCTGTTCCGGTGTTTGTTTATGGTTGTTTACGGCATGTTTGTGTATGCGATTGCTTTGTAATAAAATTATGCATGAAATGTTTGATAAGTACATCGTTATAAAGAAGCAACACTTCTTTGAAAATAGTATTTATGTGTTAACTTTTATTTGTAAACGAAACACATGCTTAACATTATCTCCATAAATAATCATAAAAGAATTATGTTAGTAGAAATTCTTGCTTGAAGACGTGAACACATCGTTGAAATTATACCCACTATAGTCCGTTTGGCTCAAAAGCGGACCGATGAATTGCAATCTAACTCGAAAACTAATAAACATATAATACTAAATGAAACGCTGATCATAATTAAAACGTCAGACCAACTCTGTGAGGTTTTTGGAGAATTTATCTCCTAAATATAAAAAAGTTGTTTAACAAACTATCATTAAAATTTTGACACAGTTCACTATTTGTTACGAGGGAGGAGTGCAGAGAAAGGGACAGCCAGGTGTGCGAGAAAGGATGGAGACGGCACAGCAAAGGTTAATGAATCAATAACTTGGTGGGCACTTGTGCACGTGCTTCTCTAACACCTGGCTGTCCCTTTCTCTGCACTCCTCCCTCGTAACAAATAGTGAACTGTGTCAAAATTTTAATCAAAGTTTGTTAAACAACTTTATTAAATTTTAGGACATAAATTCTGCAAACAAACCACAGAGTTGGTCTGATGTTTTGATTATGATCAGCGTTTCATTGAGTATTATATGTTTATTAGTTTTCGAGTTACATTGCAATTCATCGGTCCGCTTTTGAGCCAAACGGACTATAATTGGGGAAACTAACCAGCCAAATGTAAGTTTAGTGTTTTCTCTGTGAACCAAAACACGTCTGTGTAAGCATAAACTCTAATTTACACATTTACTTAATTTTAGACACTTTCCTGCTAACTGCGTCTTTTAAAGCACTGTAAGCACTTTCATAAAACAATGTACACATTTGTGCAAACTTTAACACTTGTCTGTAAACAAAATGAATTCTTATCATTGAATTTGTTGCGTTGCAATAAATACTTATCTTTAGGTATGGACACATTTATGCATGTTTGTAAAACACTTCTTTGGGGCTTCTCTATAGGTTTTAACACCTCTGAATTTTAGCGATAGATCTGAAAGTGTCCTTCAGGTTTGAACGTTTTTGAAAGCCTCGCTGTGACAATGAATGATGTAACTGATAAAAAAAACAAAACTTGAGTCGTATGGCGAAGAGTGAGTATTGTTTTACACCGCTTTAGGCAATATTCCAGCAACATCACAGCGGAGGACACGAGAAATGGGCTTTAAATAAGGTTTACTCTTGTTGGGAATCAAACCCGGGTCTTCGGTGGGACGCGCGAACGCTTTAATTACTGGGCCTTCACACCGCCCCTCATGTGAAGACAACATGATCGGTTGTAAGACGCCCGAAGCGAGAGCTGTTTGAATATTGTACGACATAAAGCGAAAGCTGACTATTGCAAAGTTGAAGGTAATTCTCTTGTCATTCATTGGTTCCGTTTAGAATTCATTGTCACTCTGAATAAAAGCACGAATACTTGCTTGAAAGCAAAACAACTGTGTGTATCAACCCATCTGTGTAAATATTAACACTTCACTGTCATTGTAAACAGTTTTATGCAAGTGTAAACACTTTTAAATACTTCCTTGTATGTATAAAGACATCATTATAAGTATAAACATACATTTCTATCAATAAACTGTTCCTAGTAAGCATTATACTTCTGTATAAACACTTCAGTGAAAGTATTAATACTTCCTTGTAAGTATGAACACTTCATTATAAGTATAAACATACATTTCTATCAATAAACTGTTCCTAATAAGCATTACACTTCTGTATAAACACTTCAGTGAAAGTATTAATACTTCCTTGTAAGTATGAACACTTCATTATAAGTATTCACATACATTTCTATCAATAAACTGTTCCTAATAAGCATTACACTTCTGTATAAACACTTCAGTGAAAGTATTAATACTTCATTGCAAGTATAAACACTTGACTGTAAGTGTCATGAATGCATAAACACTTTTGTACATCCGGGTACCCTGCAGAAACACGCGGGTCATGGTTTCATGGGAACAGTCACCCCATCACATGGCATCATGGGACGTGGCGACGCCCATCCGAACGGACGGATACCGTTCCATACCAATGCGTCATTGTGCCCAACCGATTCACATTCCGCTGACGAGAGCTATTGAGGCAATACAAGCACATCCATCCGAACGGGCGGATACCGATCCATACGAATCAGTCATAGTGCCCAACCGATTCACAGTCCGTTGCCGAGAGCTGTTGAGGCAATACAAGCACATCCATCCGAACGGGCGGATACCGATCCATACCAATCAGTCATTGTGCCCAACCGATTCACATTCCGTTGACGAGAGCTGTTGAGGCAATACAGGCACATCCATCCGAACGGACAAAATATACACTTCATCGGAACAAATTTCATCAGATGGGGTCCCTGTATCCCCGAGCTATTTGACTGTTTACGGTATCCTTGGCTATCGCATGCATATCTGTTTCAATTCAGCGTGGCTTTATTTCCCGATGGTGGGTGAAGGTCGTCTGAAGGACGCCGTCTGCTCCAACACAACACAATTTGGGAGGGATGCAGGCTCCCATCTTATCAGACACACCTTATCCATAAATCTATCTCAGGCTTATCGCATACGCCGGGCTGATATCCTACGGATACCACGTGATTACCCGCGTGCGTCATATCTGATAAAGGTCTCCTATTTTCGTGGGGCTATCTGAATCGGCGCGCTTCGCAATACATCTCCGAATCTTATCGCTCTGTTATCAAGGCGAGGCCCAGGCGACTGCTTATCTTCACCGCCCGAACTCTTGGCAAGGGAACTATTTAAACATTTGCTCATACCATGTAACAATAACAGCTAGTTGCTAACATTCATACCGGCCGGTGTGGGATATACCTCTGTTAATTACCGCCCTGTAAAAGTGTTTATTGTCGGGTCGGGCGTGTTTACTCTGGATTTATCATTACCGATATAAACAGTTTATACATTTTCGGATCCCCGCGGGTGAGTGAGTGAGATGGGATTACCGCCGTTTTCAACAGTTTGACGGCATATCGGAGTTGGGGGAGCCTAGTGGTTAAAATGCTCGCTCGTCGCGCCAAAGGCCCGGGTTCGATTCCCTATATGGGTACAATGTGTGAAGCCCATTTCTGGTGTCCCCCGCCCTGATATTGCTAAAAGCGGCGGTTAAACCCAGCTCACCCACCCACTTACGCTTCAAATACCTAAGGGACATAATTCTGCACATCGCTTTGCGGCACCTCAAACGATTAAGCCTTCTCCTCTGAAATGTAAGTGAAAAGCTTCTAAAAACGATCGCCTGAGACATTAACCACTTCAGTCTTTAGCTTCTATATGACTTTCAAATATCGATTAGTTTACCACTCTCAAAAGATGGAAGGGACTTGTCACTTGAGATGCGAGAAGGAAGTTTAAAAGATGACAATTACTAGTGCAGACGCATTCGTGATCAGAACGGCCAACGTTCTGTCACGTGTTTGGCAGAGAACTCCGAAGCGATAACCTTTCTGTAGTCATTGGGCACTGTTGGGCCGTCAAAAGTATAGTTGACTGAATGAGATAAGCATCACTACGTCCTCGTCCGGAACTTCTTGCCTTATCTCCACACCTTGTAGACTCGCTTCCGCGGATCGATATAGGTCTGTTAAGAATGGCAGAAAGCTGCAGATATTATCCAATCTTTTCACATTCTCGTGTTGGGGTAACATTTTAATTGATAAATTTATTAACTCATATTATATCTAAAATATCCAAAAGGAATTTTAAAAAAAAAGAATTATCATGTGCACTTATTATGGTAGATCTATGTGCCCCTGCGTATGTGAGAAATATGTCAATTTGTGTTACTGTCATCGTGTATTATAATAATCGGAATAACATGTAATCATTTCTGCATGAATTAGCTCCAGCACATCCTTGCTTAATGGTTGGGACATACGGAGGTCTTCTTCAATCATTACTGACGTACGATAACATCTTTCACCACTGAACATAATATCGAAGAATACACACACCTGTTTTGTAGATGCAAGCGGGCAGTGCCTTACATGAATGAGACTTAAAATATTTTATTTTATGCTACCCTTATCGATCGGCAAAACTGTTGGATCTGGGTTATCAGGCTTTTAATCGCTAAGGCCTCTACACTGACAGTTCATGCTGATTGTATTTTTGTTGGACCGTATCAGTTTCCATCTGTCTGCTTTTTATTAAAAAAGTCTTATCTCCGTTCGGCGAATGGCGGGCTCATATTTTTGATTGAAGATAGAGGCACGTCTCTTGTCGCGAACTTGCCTATCTCTCATCGCAGCTGCACAAATAACATAGGCGATTGTCGGCCCTCATCGTAGGATCAGATACGGTGTAACTCCCTCGGCCGACCTTTTGTTTTGCGAAAACAGGGTAACTCCGGCAGTGCAGTCCGCCATTTCTATGACACGGCCGTTGATAACACAAGATGAATGGCGCGATCGGCAGACGATAAGATAACATCAGCAGATAAGCCCGATAAGGCCCGCATACATAATTTGAGTCATCTCGCTACCGAGTCGACCCAGCATAGAGATTATATCTCGGATAAATCCGCCTCGATTTGGAGTCCACTTCGCTGTGGCGAACAATGCGAGTGATTTCAGCTAGTGTTTTACATTGCTTGAAACTCGACGGAACTTCGCATCAACACTGACCTCTGAGAGGTCACGGCGCAGTCGAATAGACCGCAAATACGGGGTCACAGCGCATTGACCTCCCCGTGCATGGAACTTTCATATACAACACGGGAACGGTTACACGGTTTGAGATGTCACGGCGGAAGCAATCAAACCCAAAGCCTTTGAAACGTAAGTATATGGTTTATCAGTCGTTTGGATTAGCATTGTGTGTGTTTACCGGATTTCAAACAACAACAACGAAGCAGTGGGCTGCTGTGACAATTGTTGTATTGGAGTGTTGTGGACTTGCCTGGATTGAGCTAGCAGACGACACATCTGTAACGGTAACGCTATGACAGTACGGCGAGTGTGTAGCTCTGCTGACATTGTACACAGAAACTATCTACGATTCAAAGAATTTTTAACATCTATGTGAATTTGTTCAACTGTTTGGGGTGATTGCTGAAATTAATATCCAACTTTCATTTGTACCTTGCTGAAACGATGGTTTTCGTGATCTGACATTGAATGATAGTGCTTGTTCCTGAAATTGAATAGTTTCCTCTTTGATTGGTTCTGTTTACATGTGTGGTCCTACCTCGTGCTTACATTAGTGTTAGATAAATCTATCGGAAAATAATATATTTAGATATATTGTCTTTCTGTCATTCACTTTTAGTTGACATAAGTACACAACATCCCGATGTAGTTCCATGGATATGTCACCAAAATTCTGTAGAATTAATGTCACATTTGTAATAGACTTCAATTGTATAAGCAAGTGGTTTAAACAGTAACAAATTAGGAGTTTTCAATTAAATGTTAATATATCTATATCAAATCGCCACTCGTAAGAAGCTTTGCCATGCTTGCAGATATACTTTTGTCGTCTGCCGCGTCCTCATCGCCAACGAGGGTGTGAGCTTGTGGCATACTGTGTGTAAGATCACGACTCGCACGAGTCGTAAATATCAGAGAGCTTCCAGTCTTGTTCATGTAGCTGAAGCTCTCGACATTTTTACAATATCCAAGCGACCAACTGATTAGTCGATGACTATCATAATCCCACGATCCTTTTTTGGATGTTATAACTATCCTATTTTATCATTTAATGGTTGGTCTTTGTATATCGTTGAAGCGATAATGCTAAACGGAGCATGATATCCCTATAAATTAATACCTCAATTACGACGGTTAGCTAATGCCCCTTCACATGCACACCACACAGTTCAGCTACATTGTAGACAACACAGATTATCCGAACCACTGTCTATTCGAAACGTTTTATATGAACGGACATACGTAAAATATATTAAACGTCCCCCACCCACCCCTCCCCCTCCGGACATCGTTTGATGGCCACTTAACTGTCGTTAACAGGGCTATGAATGCATAACACATAGACGGGGTCTAGTCCTTTGTGCCTCACAACCTAGGGGTGATATGGGACGATTGTCCCTTATCTCCCACGATCGTGGGGGCTCACGTATACACATCGTATCACATGTTGGCCTATCAGCTCGTGATTGAGGAATCCACCGTGATTTCCCTGTATCTATGACCAAGGGGGTTTGATGACAGAATTCGCGGAGTCGCACGCTTTATCGCAAAACAAACAACCCTCACCTAGCCCGACATTGATATTCACGTACAACACTTTGTAAAAGTGACCGGCAATAAACACCGTCTGTTCTTGGCTCCACGAAACACACGTGCTTCACAAGCTTCTCCTGGATGTAAAGTATAAGACCAGAGCGTTGTGTGAGAGTTGCAAATCAATTTAACGTGGCACTCAACTATATAATGACAGGTCGAGAGAACATACCCGGAAAAAGAATACCATTTTCCAACTAACCACACACCCGGTTTGGACAAACACTGAAAAAATGTGATTTCATGTTGATCTGTGAGCGAAACTCCTCACTTTAATACCGATGTACTTTTTTCACACATTTCCGTAATCACTTAGTCCACCTCACGAAAGCATATTGGCCGTTATTGGTCTGGAATTTTGTTAACCATGGTAGGCATTTCCTTGTTGATGTAGTGATAGACGCCTCTTCGTCTTCACCAAGCTGAATGTGGTGTTAAATATATATCTTTCGAAAAACAGTGATATAAACATTTCTGTAGACAATGAGTGACAGCCTGGATTTGCGTGTGTCTTTCATTAGCAGTTAGATTAGAAAATATTCTGGCATTGCAGTTTCAAATTCTATTTTGTGACCAATTAAATTCTGAAGGTTTTATAAAGACATTTTTATCTACGTCTGAAGTTGTTCTGGAGGGTGGAATTAAGTACAAACGTTAATAATCAGTTAAAAATGAAAAGATAAAGAAGAAAGTGTTAAAAAGACGGCCTAAGCAAGTTATATTACTTGCGTTAGGATTCTTAACATCCATATACACCAGGCAGTTCAATATGGCTGTGTGGAAATACATACAGTTGTAGTAATTTCACGATTAATCTGGTTGGATAAACTGATGCGGACTGATATATTTAATGATTTATAATTTTCCACAACGGTTACCTCTAAAACATACAACTTCAGACAATAATTGTATATTGGTACTCGAATGACAGGATGGTATTATTCGCGACGTTTGTCTAAACATTTAATTCCAAAGGCTTAGTACCTTGCAGCCATGACGTGTTTATGTCTTGGCCTAGTGTGTCATACAGACCCTGAAACAAATATATCCAAGAAAGCCTATGCAAGTCTAGAATATGTGAGTTTAGTTTTATGCCGCAAGCAGCAATATTCCAGCTATATGGCGGCGGTCTGTAAATAATCGAGTCTGGACCAGACAATGCAGTGATCAACAGCATGAGCATCGATCTATTCAATTGGGAACCGATGACATGTGTCAACAAAGTCAGCGAGCCTGACCACCCGATCCCGTTAGTCGCCTCTTACGACAGGCATGGGCTACTGAAGATCAATATTCTAACCTGGATCTTCACGAGTTTAGAATATGTGGCAAATCTGAAAAGGAAGAAAGTCTCTGGGCTCCTCTTCATTATGTTTTATGATTATTTTTATGAACAGTATTTTCCTGTAAATTATGTTCATTTCAGAGGCTAGATGTTAGTCTAGGCCCTTTAATTACAATTACTTATAAACATATTATATGCCAATCACCACTGTTAATTCTCATTACGATTGTATTGTACATTACTTACTGATGTTAATACTTATGGCTTAATCAGCTGATATGTCTGTATAAGCCTTGGCATAGACAGACGCTTAATCTCAGAATATATTGAATTTTGTCTCAAACAAATAATTCCTTTTAAATTGAAAAGGAGCCCCAGTGAGTTGGGAGATTGAGGGGAACCTGGGGAGATCTAGACTTGCGTCATATAGAGCTTAGGATTACAGAAGGGGCTCGACGGAGGGAAAATAAGGCGTTCATGCAGGGTCTGTGGGAGACTAGCCTCGGTCGAGAGACCAATAATAGGAGTCCTCAGCTCCAGCTTTGCTAGGGTTAAGCTTGGTGCCCCAGGGCACCTACATCACTACCATTACTGGCACATGGAACTTATTGCATGTGTCAACTTCTATTAAGGTGATGAGTATATACCGCAGGCTATCAACACGATGTTGTCAATGCCCATCATTGCCCATACATAGACCCTTACACATAGGCACCAATATGGGACCAATCCTATTCAACACCACAGGTGTTCCTATAGTCTGTCTCACAGTCCCTGAAGCATATTATTTTCCCAACTGCCTAGCCCTCTGCAGTGCTAAAACCCTAAACGAAGCAAGTCTAGATTTCCCGATGTTCCTCAATCTCCCAACTCACTGGGGCTCTTTTCAATTTAGATCGGCGTATTTGTTGCTATCAAAATTATATATATTTAGGGACTTAGCGTATGTTTGTCTAGTGTTTCTAACGCACACACCAACGTGTTGATATTTAGTTGTGTCATAATGACGTAGTAGAATGGGAAATACGTCAAGCTGTGTGTCCAGTGTAAAGAATACGTCAGTGATGTGTCAGTGGTGTAAAGAATACGTCAGTGATGTGTCAGGGGTGTTGAGAGTACGGAACAGATGTGCCAATGGTGTCACATCACGTAATAGGACATGTTTGGAACAGATGTACATCAGTGGGCGCAATATACCGGTATTAATGAACGCACTAACATGCTGTACAGTGCTGTTGGTAGAATACCCCGCTAGATGTAGACTAACGCTTGGTCTCTGAATATATAATTTTGATAGCAACAAATAATCCCATTTAAATTGAAAAGGAGCCCCAGTCAGATGGGAAATTCAGATTGTTTCATTTAGAGCTTAAGCATTGCAGGGGGGGCTAGGCTGTAGGGAAAATAATGTGTTTCAGGGACTTGAGACGGTGCAGCTGTTTCCAGGTTTTCACGGTATATGCAGTGTTGACAAGAGTCTGGGATTTTGATAGGTACACTGTTGTCGAAGACGCGTTTGTTGTATCTGGTGTCAAGTCTTTCAACGACATTTAGAAGTAATACACATAAACGCGAGATTTTATCGATGTCAACTTCTTTATTTTGAGGAACATGAGTATGTTCTTACACCTTCTTCAGGTGAATTCACCTTGTATCGACAGTACGACGGGTGTCGAGAAGACAAATTCCCATATCGATCTATGTTATGTGTAAAGACACGACAAACCAGTTTCATTGGCGTTTCATTGGAACCCCTTCTAATCTTAATATGTTTTTGTTAATATGTTTTGTTTTTTGTCTCAAAATATGAAAAAAGTGACAGTCACCAATATTTTCCTATTCTGAATAACTAGTGGTTTTAAATGGCATTCGCATGGTATTATGAAATATCTATGCAAACATGTTAAGCAATAGCGCATGTGAATCACGGAAACTAATATTTTCTCAATGCCCGATTGCGCGAAGACGGAACCGAGTTAATAGAATGGCGACGAGATGAGCACGAATCGCCGTTTCCCTTGTGCCGGGGTGACACGAGTGGTGACGAATGGAGCGCCCTCGTCACGATAGTTCGTTTGTCCTGGCATTTTGCAAGAGATGTTGAATACTGTTTAGTCTCTGAAAATAGGTAATTTTAATGGAAATACATAACGAACAAGGAACTCCTATGAAGATGCAGAACCTTAGTAATTTCTACCATTATTTAGGTCTTCTTACATGTATGCCTGGGCGGAAGAAGAAATGATACGAT